GTATATACGTGCGTTAGCGTGCATACACATGTGACCGAATAAATATTTACTCAATTTAATATAAGGTGTAAACAATACAGTGCCCATTGTGGTTAGAGCTAATAAGTATATATTAACAAATATACATATACCTACGTTTGGAGTGCGACTTAAGTTTCAAAACAAAATTAATAATTCGTGTCTGATGAGTTGGTAGGACAACGAAACTTTAAGCTGCACTTCGAACGTACGTTTATATATACTAGCAGCATGGCCCGGCGTTGCCCGTGCTTGATTCAAAAATCGTACGACTCATACAGCAATCGCTATCACTTGACTTAATTTTTGCCCTTCCTTGCCTTTAAAAGAGTGCCCTTTGCCGTGCTGATGTTGCTACATGCCTTACTTCTTGCCTATATCACAATGCGAATTTTTTCTAAGCTCTATACTAAACATTAAATCTGTTACGAAAAAAGAACTAAACAAAATGAACATAAAACGATCAGTTTTAAAAAAGGACTCGTAACTGGAAAAACCGAATGAAAAAAGAATGTTAACAACAAATACTTTTTCACACCCAACCCAATTTTGCGGAATCGGAATCAACATTGAGTTTAAGCAAAGCGAATGAGCCAATTGGAGTAAAGTGCCATGCAGATTTAAATTTTTCCCACTTGTGACGAATGCAGCTATCGATTTTTTTCATGCTAGCATGCTACTTAACATTCGTGTCAGTCAGCTGTTGGCTCTCACGCTGGCCAGTAGAATCTTCCTGCCTATTTGTGGCAGCCAGCTATAGGCTCTCACTCTGGCCAGTAGAAAATGGCCGCAAACTACATGAAAATTGCCGTAGAAGCATAAAAAAAAAATCGATTATTTCCACTATCGATGGGAGGTGGTAAATGCAAAGTCGGTCTTGGCCTTCTCGCTAACTTGGAGCATGTGCAGGTAAATTTTGGTGAAAATCCGTCGAAAATTGCCGCCGTGCATTTGTTACACACACACACACACACACATCCTGCGTTATATATATATATATATATATATATATATATATATATATATATATATATATATATAAAATTTAGTTAGTCCGTATCCATCCAACATGTCAACCGACATGATATATCTGTTTAGTTTTTGAGTGTATTTTTCTGATGTTGTATATTTTCCTCCTCGATGTGCATTCTTTTCAGAACATTGCATTACGTGCGTCTCCACAGCTTCCTGTCCGTTGTAGCTCTATGTAATGCTTATGTTTTGCTATCTCTCGTAATCCCTGTTGTTCCAACCATTTACACAAGTTGACTGGAAAGGATGAAGCTGGAAGAGAGTTCCACAAGTGAGAAGTGCGAGAAAAGAAACTTTTAGCGTTGAACATACGTCTACATCTAGCCAGCTCAATTGTAAATTCTTGAGATCTCAATGCCATTCTAGTACTGCCTTGAAAATCATACGACATAGGTGCCATAGATAAGATCTCGTCCAATATTTAGAAATAATCCCTTTCTTTCTCAAACTAAATTTATACACTGAATCACACAGACACGGCGCGTGCGCGCGCACTCTCTTTCTCTCTCTCTCTCTCTCTCTCTCTCACACACACACATATATATATATATATATTTTATTATACGTTATTACATTTGGGCATACATGTATCCTCTACATAAATGCATTAAAGTTTCGATGCACATCATAGCATCTCATCAGGTGGTGGTATAATAATATTTAAATCAATTTAAACATTACATAAAAAACATCTCTTCTTCACGGAACACCCCCTCCATTTAACCAATTAGTACAAAGTTAGTCCACAATTTTCTAAATTTAATTGATAAAAATTTTCCGAAAAGCAATCCCCTTAGTAAAATCTTTAGTAGTAACACTTTAAAACTTAACTATAGTTGTACTAATAATCTTGAGAAAATAATAAAGTTACACAACAATAAATCACTAAAACTATTTAACAATAATAACCATAATACATGTACAGATTCTAATATGCTTAAAGACACCAACCTGTGTTATTGCAAGAATCTTGACCAATGTCCATTGTCTAACAAGTGCATAACGGAATCTCTTGTGTATGTGTTCTATTTCCTCAATAGAAACTCAGATGATTGAAAAGATTTATATAGGCAGCACAAAGAATGCATTCAAAGATCGTTGGTATAAACATTTCTCTTCCTATACTCATGATACTTATCGAAAAAATACTTCACTTTCAAAATAGCTTTGGAAGTTGAAAGAAGAAAATAAACCCCTAAAGTTAAACGGAAAATTTTAAAACTAGCTAGAACTTGTAGATCCTTATATAAGCCTTGTTTTCAGTGTCTACTGGAGAAAATGCAAATAATCAGATTTTTGAATAGGGATGAGCTGTTAAATCAAAGATTTAAACTGTTAATTGTAAGCACATTACCCGTTTGACTTTACAATCTTTAAAAACTTGAAAATTTAATTACCTCTTATCTTATGTTAAATAACCTTATAATAAACATTTTAAATTATCCTTAGTAAGTTTGATTTTGAGATAATGTAGTAGATACGTTATGATTCTAAAATTACTGATAAAATTTTGTATGCAAATATATAGGTCCGTCTGAGATTGTAACATTTTCTATTGTTTTGTTGGTTTTTTTTATATATATATATATATATATATATATATATATATATATATATATATATATATATATAGAAAACAGACCATTACATTACAATAATTTATTTCACCAAAATTCTTTTTAAAGGACTCCGGATCATCAGGTAACAATTCCAACAACGAAATGAAAGGAAAAATCTTAAAATATTAGCTCTGAATTCCCATTGAGCTCTCAGGATTTCATCCTCTTTGGAATTACCCATTCGGTTTACCAAGTTCTTCGTAACTTATATATATATATATATATATATATATATATATATATATATATCTAATTGGAAACATTTGGAGAAATGGAGAAGTGTCAAAAGATTACAGGGATGCAATAATGATACCCATATATAAGGGTAAATGTGCCCGGGAATTATAGAGGGATTGCTCTCCTTTCTTCGGCAGGCAACATCTTAGCTTTTGTTTTACCATTAAGATTAAACAAGAAAATAGTTGACAATATACTGCATGAGTCACAGTGTTGTTTCCTCCAACACAGAGGGACTCCAGATATGATTTTCACAGTACGACAAATTCAGGAAAAGAGCTGTGAACGACAATTGAACCTTTATCAAATATTTGTAGATCTAAGGAAGGCTTTTGACACTGTTAATCGTGCTGCTCTTTGGAAAATCGTTTCAAAATTGGACTGTCCCCCTCACTTTCTCAAGATACTGAGTTCCTTCCATGATGGTATGGAAGCCTGCGTCAGTTTTGGCGGTATGCTTAAGGGGTCCATCAAGGTTGGAAATGGAGTCAAGCAGGCAGATCTTCTGGCTCCTACACTGTTTTCTATCTACTTTCCAATTGTACTGTTTCATACATTCGGTGACTGCAATCATGATATTATGATAAGATACAGGTCAACTGGCAAGCTTTTCGCCATACGTAGGTTTGCAGCAAAGACAAGTTTTTTTAGTTTAGTGCGCAACCTTCTCTACGCCGATGACTGTGACCTGGCCACAACATGAACAGGAGTTCATGGACCGACAATTAGGGTCATGCAAGGCTTTTACACTATCCATCAACCTTTGACCTGGTCGCTCACACAATTCAGCGCGCACCAGAGATCATGGATCGACTATCAGGGTCATGCAAAGCTTTTGGATGTCCATCAGCCTGGACAAGACAGTGGTGATGTATCAACCTGCCCAAGGAATTCAGCCATCGAAGCCATCAATTTATATTTTATGGTAGCCGACTTGGGGTAGTAGAAATATTTGTCCACCGTCACTGCTCCCTTGATGATGAGATAGCGTTACGGAATAAGAAGGCCTCCGATGCATTTGCAGCACTCAAGTTCCGCGTCTGGAGTCAGAAGGTTATAAAAAAGCAGACAAAAATTAAAATTTCTTTCTATAATACCTGCGTAATGTTATCTCTGCTACATTCATGTGAGACATGGGTAGTTTATCGCAGATATCTGAAGATACTGGAACGTTTCCATCAACGATGCCTTCAGTCTGTGCTTGAAATCCACTGCATGTCTCACACTCCTGATACTGTTGTTCTACAAAGGGCCGATTCACTCTCTGTGGAAGCAATTATACACAAATTGCGATGGACAGGTCATGTTATTCTCATGGCAGATGACAGAATGCCAAAATAATTAATTTATGGAGAATTGGAAGTGGGGAAAAGACGCCAACACAAACCAAAACTTCGTTACAAAGATTACGTTAAAAAGTCACTATACAAGGGCAATATTGGTCTGGTTAACCTGGAGACGTTAGCTGAAGAACGGGTTTCTTAGAGAGTTGGTATCGCTGATGGCGTCAAGATTTTCAATGAGGCATCACAAAAATATGCAGAACTGAAGAAAGGAATTCGGAAGGGTTCCCTGAATTAGGTGCCAACCTGGTCGTGTGCGCCAATGCAATTGGATATATCTGCCTAAGGCAGGTCTGCTCAATCACCAGAAATAACACCAAGACCAACACCAACAGTCTGTTGCATATGACGATTTCACATTGGCATGATTAGAATGTCCGACTAGGTGAGGCTTGACAAGGCAT